CCCCCTTCCCCTACCCAAGTCTCAGGACATCGACAACAGGGAAATGAATACAAAGACAGGAGGATGGCACATTCTACGCTGGAGATCCAAACAACGCAAGGGGAATTTCCTGCAACACTGATATTTAAGGGTCCCTAACAAAAAAACTGGCAGCTCACCTGGTTCCCCTATAGTGATTCCTGCCAGTCACCAATTCTTGCCCTTGTTTATAGAACTTCGAGAGAGCTTTTAGGGTCTTATTCCTAAATATTAAAGGACAACCACACACTTGCAGAAACGTATGGCCTAAAGAAACAGGCTGAACAAACAAAGGGACCAGGAGGAAACAGAAATGCAAGGAACTAAAGAACATTAAAAAAAAAAAAATTATAGTTAATATCCTTAGAAATAAGGAAGAACAGAATTCAATAAAAAGATAACAACTGGAGAACATGAAAGGACTCTTGACAATTAAAAGTATCATAAAAATTAAAACTCATTCAGAACATTAGAAGATAACGACAAGAAAATCAGAAAGTAGAACAGAATGTCCACGAGTTAGAAAATAGGAAAGAAGAGATATGAAAATTTAAAAGTCATATTGGGAAGTCCAATATCTGAATAATAGGAGTTACAAAAATAGAGATAAGAGAAATGAAGGGAAGAAAATTATCAAATAATAATAACTAATAATAAAAGAATATTTTCTGAAATGAAAGGAAACATGCCTTCCGATGGTAAGGGTCTACTCAGAACCTGGCATCATGAGTGAAAGAAGACTGACACCGAGGTTCATTATTGCAAAATTTGAGAAGACCAGAACTACACAGAAGACCTAAATACTCCTAGAAAGATAAAACAGGCCACATAGAAAGTACCAGGAAAGAAAATGACATTACAGATAAGATAGCAGAGTAGTTAATAAGAGCTTTAACTCTGCAGCCAACTACCTGGGCTTGTAACTCACCTTACTAGTTGTGTGACTTTCGGTAAGTTATTTAACCTCTCTGGCCCCAGTTTCTCTGTCTTTAAAATAGAAATAACAAGATACCTTCATCTTATATGGAATAATGGATATAAAACACTTAAAATGGAGCCTGGCTCATAGCAAATGTTCTGTAAGTGCTAACTCCCCCCACGCCCCCCAGACTTCTCAACAGTAATACTGGAAGCTAGAAGACCATGGAGTATTAGATTCAAGTTTTTAAGAGCAAACATTTTCAAATCTAGAATTCTGTAACAATTAAACTACAAATCAAGTGTGGGAGTAGAATAAAGGCATTTTCAGACATATAAGGTATTTAGAATTTGATTTCCCTTTCATCTCTTCTCAGGGAGATACTGCTTGCTTAAACAAAACCAGGTATAACGAACTGAAGACATCGAATGCAGACAACAGAAGACTTAACATAAAGAAAGAGAGGATTTCCCTAGATTACTATGAAGGGAAGTCCCAGGGTGACAACTATGCTTCAGTATTCAGTCCTAAAAATAGAGGACAGAGGGCTCCATGAGACAGACCCCAAGGGGGAAAAAATGGAACTGATATACTTGAATATATTAAAAATATTATTGATATGCATGTGACAGAGACATAGAGCACTGGAGGGAAATGGTAATGACACAGAAAAGCAGGCAGATAAAAAAAAAATTAAGCAGGTTTTAACTCCGGGAAAAACAAAGGGCATATAAGAAAGGGGACATAATTTAGTCATTCTTAGCTCAGAAGCAAATAATATTTGTATAGTCAAAATAATATAAAAGTTAACTCTCTGTTTTTCTTGATTTAACTAAAAATTATGATATAACTGAGTTAGGGAGATGGGGAAAGGGGAAGAATGCAGTGGAGACAGTTCAGTCCTCAGTTACCAAGATGGTGGGCAGTCAGTAGTTACTACCTAAAACTGAAAATTAAAGGAATAGCAGTAAGCATGTAATTTTAAGAATTGGAGATAAACACCTGGAGAGGCAAACCAAAGAGTTAAAGGTGATTTCTTCTGAGAAATAGGACTGGTAGGTTAGGGAGGGCTGGGATGGGAAACTCTTAGTTTTTCATTGTAAGTCTTTTAGTATTATTTGATCTTTTAAATCGCGTATATTTGTTATTTTGATAAAAAAGTAACCTTTAACTTAAAAAATAGTGGGAAAAACTCAAAATATTAGTAGTGGGTATGTGTGGATAGTATGATTACAGGTGATTTGAATTTCATTCTATAATCTTTTTATTTAATATATTACTCCATTTTTTAATAAATATGTGCTACTTTCATAATTTAGAATGTACATTTTATTTTTGAAATTAAATCAAGATGGAGAGAAAAACAAAGATTGTACAGTTTGACGTAGGTTAAAAAATGATTTTTTTAAAAAGGTGAAATCATGACTCATTTAAATGTAAAATGAACACATGTCAAAGATTAAGTGAGGGAACTAATGAGATGTTACAACTGATTCAAAGAAGTCAAAGAACTAGAAATTTGTATACAATACAGAAATGTTGAAATGAATTTGCAAAAACAGGTTCATCTATCAATTACATTCTGCAGACAAACTATTTGTATTTCTATGAATAAGAATTATTTACATTGCTATCAGTTTTTTATAACTTTTCTAAGAAGTTGTAAAATCAACAGCGATGCACACTCCTTTAGGATCAGGTAATCCCCAGAAGCTCCGGCAACTCTTTGAAAGGGTATCCAATAATATCCAAAAATGGTTTACCCATTTGAAAGCCTTAAATGTTTCCTTATGTGTAGTTAAGAGCTAATTCGTTTATGGAATCTTGTGTCATAAGTTCCCATTGATTATTCAATAGTGGCTGCAAGTTTGGTTTGAGTTCCTAGAAGCAAAAGCAAAAAGGGAAACTGGTTATAAGTTTATTGGAGCATTCAGTAGGGTTTAAAATATTTTGAAGCTGATAAAGTTCCACTTCGTTTTAAATTGCTGGCAAATTTTTTCTCCGGAGGTTTAAGTAGTATCATGTCCCGGGAGACTTGTTTTCTTTTTAATTCCTTTCTATATGGATTTAGACTAAACCATCTCTGAAAATTTGGGGGTTTTTTTTGGGGGGGGAGGTGGTAGATATGTAGCTTTGTGTGAGTATTTGCTCCTAAAAGAGAAGCCTGAATTTGCCAGGAGGCCTGTGAAAATCTGACCTTTTATGCCAGACTCTGAAAGGGGACTAAACTTGTCTGGACTGAATTACAGGGGCCACACACATAATGTCTCTTAAAATGACACAATTTGGGGAAATTTCCTTCTTCAAGCTGGCAAAGCCAAACCAAATACTACAGGGGTGGATTTCCCTATTCCTACTATTGATCAGCCTGGGATAGTCTCTGGAAGCAGAAGGGACAGAAGATTATCAAGGTTCCCCTTCCCAGAGCAAACATCAGGAGCTGTGGGTTTTTTCATATGGGTAAGGGAAAAATTAGAACTCAAGGTCTATCAACAGAGGATCGGGGGGAAAAAATTACAGTATAGTATATCCAAACAATGAAATACTATGTAGGCATTAAAGAGAATGTAGAAGGTATTTATGCATTGATATGGAAAATCATAATATGGTTAAATGGGGGAAAAACAGTATAGAACACTACCCAGATGAGAAAATATTCTACTTTTAAGTTCTTTGTTCATTCATTCAACAAATATTCCTTAAGCATCTCTATGGGTTAGAAATACAACAACAAACCAACCAAAGTCCCTACTCTCGTAAAGCAGACCTTATAATGGAGAGAAACAAACAATACAAAAATATATATATTGGGTTCATGAAGAAAAATAGAGAAGGTTACTGAGAAAGACATTTTTGTGGGTGATAGCATAGACTTAATAGTCAGAGGCCTTTGTGATAAGGTGACCTTTGCCTTGAGACTACCTTAACATGTATATGCATATATGTATGTAGTTGTCTGTGTTAGGGTTGCATTTGGCACTATGTAACAGAAACCACCTGCAGCGGCTTAAACACTACAGGGTTACTTTTCTCGCATGAGAAGGAAGGCAACACAGCGCTGGTGCAGCTGCTCAATGAACCAAGTACCTCCTAACTTCCTAGACCACCATCCTCCACATCTGGTCACAAGATGACAGCTGCTGCTCCAGGATTCACACCCACACTCCAGGCAGGACGAGGAGGGAAAAGCAAAGTACAAAAAGGCACAGGCCAGCTGGGTCTTTTTTTAACCAGGAATGTGGTAGCATTCCCAGAAGGCCTCCCCCAGCGGACTTCTGCTGACTTTTTACTGGCCAGTGTTGTGTCACATGGCCATTCCTAGTTCCAAGGGACCCTGCACAATATGCTTTCTCAGTTGATCACATGCTGCCCTGAAAACAAGCATGAGTACAGACCAGGTACCTAGCAGTGTCTGCCTCCTGAGTGCAAAGACTACACCAGTTAACAGGGCTGGTCTCTGGAGATAGTACTCCGCATGATCCGTAACCTTCTCCTTTATGTTCTTCGTTCTGTATCCTTCGGAACTGGAACATTCTGTCTGATCAGTAATTCAGAATCTCAGTATGTCCCACCCCAGACATACTGAATCTGTAGGACTAGTAATCTGCAGGTTTACTAGTTCTCCACATGGTTGGGAAGCTCGGGGAAGAATGGAGAACCAGTGCACTACGCCACTTTAAAAATCAGCAAAAAGAAACGAATAGATATTTGCATTTTGAGAGAAAAAAATGGCAAGTCAAGAATCTCATTCAAGCTAACAAGTGTTTTTCACAGTAGAGCTACAAATACAACCTAATTAATGAATGTGTCAACATTTCTTCCTCCTTTGGAATCATTAGCATTTATTCAGGCCTTTAGCAGTAAGAGTTTTTCAAAGCTAACATTCAGAAAAAGTGAAAAAGAAAACAAATCAACCTTGTGTTTTGATTCATTCCTTTACATCTTTATGTTTTAACTCCCAAATTTACAAAGATTCAATTAAAATTATAGTAAACTGTTTAAAGAGAAGTAAGTACTGGTCTTAACAAGATTCCCATGAAAAAGATGAATTATTTTCACTCACCGCCAGACATAACTTGGAATCCAGGATACTATTCTACCCTTGAAGTACTCCAAAAAAATGGAAAGAGTAAAAAAAGAACAGGGTGTGGAGGTGGAGGAAGAGAAGCAGGTATCAGGTAGGCAGGCTCACGACCACAGGGACTTGGACTGCCAAGGAAAATGGCAGTTCACAACCGGAGCTACTTTCTCTTCTAACTGATGAGTGGGCAGGGAAGGAAAAAGGAAGGATGAGAACATTTGTATTAGAGATGACAGCAACAAGATTAGTTTTTAGGCATTGCCAAATACCTAATAATAAAACCTGTGTCATTCAGCATCAAGAAGCAGTTGGGTTTTTTTTTTTTTTTTTTTGGTGTTACATAAATACCATAATAATTCATTTTTTTCCTTTTTAAAAAATGCATTATCTAGCGGAGGGTTAATCATCAGAATTTAAAAATGAGCATGGGAAACTTGTAGCACCTGAAATGACAGCTCACGATTGAAAATAAAATGTCTCCAGTCCCTATTTATAGGGGGAAAAAAAACAAACAAAACTTTCACTTTATTCTTGCAAAAGTTTCATGTCCTTGAGTAGATCCTGCATTCATCATTGTAATCATGTATGTAAGGGTTAAGAAACCCATTACTCAAATTTTATCAGTCAGAAAATGTCACCCAGAGAAATGGAATGCAAGTAATAAAAAATATCTAGAATTTCACATAGAATTTTAACGGTTGATTCTTTCTCATTGTGCAATTTCACCCCAAACCAAAAAAAGACTGAAAACCAGGATCTGAGTCAAAGCACAGGTGTCTCTAGGGAAGTCAGCCAGTCTGGAAGTTCCCTGGCTTCCTGACTTGTATCTTCTGGGAATCAATGAATCTTCAGTCACCAATATGATCAATATCACACACTTCACAAATACAAAGTGCTCTCGAAAAACTCTTTTGTCACAAACATTTTTGCAGAAATTATGACTTCCGATTTTTGCTTATTGCCATCATTTTTCTAAAATAAAATAAAATATTCTTCTATGTTCACAGGCATTTAGATTACTGAGTGGGTCTACTGACGGTTCTCTCAAATATTGTCACCTGAGTAGACAGAGGCAAAACGAACCCGAGAGTTGAGGTTGGATAATGCAAAACCAAAGATGCTTCATTATGAAGAATTGTTTGACTCTCTTCAGCATCAGATGAGAAATATCTAAGTACAAATGAGTCCCTTTTGCCTTGTAAGTTACATTTATACCTTTTTCTATCATTGAAATGAGTTGATCATTTCTGCTTTTGAAAAATAGATCAATCAGAAGGAAAGGTTAAGGAAAAGAGAATTCCAGAGGAAGATGCTAGCAGGGAAACAGCTACCAAGGGCAGCCAGCCAAGCTTAATATTAAATGGTGTAGCTTTGCCATCAAGCAGTCTACTGGGATCAGAGATTTTAAACTTCCCATCTACTAGCTGTACCTGTGGTGTGACTTTTGGACATTTCATTAGCCTGTCTATACCTCAGGATCCCATCTGTAAAATGGAAATATTAATAGTTCCATGATATAGGCAGTTGGGATGAAATGAGATACTATATCCTAAGTGCATTAGAATGGTGATTGGCATGTGGTCAGCACTCAAGAATATCAGCTATTATTTTACAATTTCCATATAGTTTATATCAACAGCAAATGTTGCTTTTTAATGAATACAATTCAAGTGTTGCATTCCAGTACTTCACACAATTTAATAGTAAGTTAAAATTCATTAGAGTTTAAGTTTTTAGATGATGCTGTCCTTTGGGGCCGCTGGTGCATGCAGCACCACCACCCAGCCCTTTCCCGGCCAGGTCTCGGGGACTCTGAAAGAGCAGTAGAGCACAGCAAGTGGGGAGGCCAAGATGCAATTGCCTATGGTGACATACACACCTACGGGGACCCCAGTGAGCACACCATGTATCATCCCCTCCTCTCACAGGTGGGAGGACCCTGTGACTGCATGTCACTCCCATGATAGGAGAGAGAAAGAGAGTGAGAAAGAGAGCAAAAGGAGTGAGTGAGCAGCTCTATCTGGAGCCAGAGAGAGACTCCCACCGTGAGCCGTGAAGAAGCAAACTCCCACACGGCGCACTGCGTGGAGGGGGCACGGAACTGAGGCAGCCCCCAGCTGACGGCCAGCTAGAAACCAGGGAGCAAAAAGGAAGTGAATTGTGCCGATGACATGAATGAGTTTAGAAGCAGATTCTTTCCCAGACCCTCCGAATAAGCACATATTTCAGCGCACACTGTGATTTCAGCCTTGTGAGACTGAGCAGGGGACCCAGCCAAGACATGCCTGGACTCCTGACCCACGGACACCACAAGACGTGCATTTACAGTTGCTAACTTTGTGGCGATTTGTCACACAGCAATAGAAAATGAATATACCTGCCTTCAGTGATGATTCCTGTTATGGGTTGAATCATGTCCCATTGATTCATGGTTGAATCATTTTAAGATGTTAAAATTCCAATCCCCAGTACCTGTGAATGGGACCTTATCTGGACATAGTGATCCTATTGCAGATGATCAAGTTGAAATAAGGTCCCTACTGTGGGCCCTAATCCAATTTGACAGGTGTCCTTATAAGAGGGGTAAGTTTGAACACAGAGGCAGACATGTATGGGGAGAAGACGATGAGAAGGTACAAGACCACCATCTGCAAGCCAAGGAATGCCTGCAGCCACCAGAAGCTAGGAGAGAGGCGTGCAGTGGATTCCCCCCACAGCACTCAGAAGGAACCAACACTGCCAACACCTTGATTTTGGATTTCTAGCCTGCAGAACTGTGAGACAATACATTTCTGTTGGTTAAGCCACCCAGTTTGTGGTGCTTTGTTACAATAGCCCAAGACAACTAATACAGTTCTCGAAGGCAGGAAGGTAAAAAGAGCTGCTTTCCAATCGTGGATGGGAAAAGCCTGGAGAGAACAGAACCCATCTGTCTGTCCATCCATCCTTCCATCCAACAGACATGGAGCCTTTCCCTTGCCAGGTGGGGTGCTACCAGTGCACTCTGTGCCAGCAGACACTACGTGCTCTACAGTGAGGTTAGGGAGATCGAGGCACAGCCCCTGCCCCCAGGGTGCTCGCCATCTAACCAACAGAGAGCAAGTAAGGCAAGCACAGTTCCATCGTGCTGGGCAGAGGATGCGCGGGGTGCGTGCTGCTCACAGGAGCACTCAAGCTCTTCCTGACACAGGTAAGGAAGGCTCCCAAGAGAGGACTGTGGAAGAGGGGGAGGAAGAAGGACAAGGGAGGGGGTGGTCTGAAGACAGGGAATTACCTACAAAAAGGCTGAGGACAGAAAAGCACAGACATTCTAAGAACTACGCACAGTTCCACGTGGCCAGAGCCCCGCGTGCTTGCAGGGATGAGGCAGAGCGTGCTAATATGTGCTGTGCGGAAGGATCGGAACTGTTTCCCGAAAGCTTGGGGAGCCGCTGATGGCCTGGCGGGAGTCAGTGACGCGATCAGATCCGGGTGGCGATGTGACAGAGGATCCCGAATCGTGGCCTCGGCAGAAGGGATGGAGAGATGTGTTCAAGAGGTATTTAGGAGGCAGAATTGACAAACCTCGATGCGTGGTTGTATTGCAGGGGCGAGGAAGAGAGAGGAGCCTACAGTGAGTCCATATTTCTCCTGGTGACTAAGTAGCGGGTGGCAACTCTCCCCAGGCAAGGGGATGTGGAAAGAGCTCCAGGTTGGGAGGAAGACGAAATGAGTTGCCAGCCCAGCCGCCATTGCCCCTCTTCTCCCTTGCTAAGGCAGCCCCAATTTTGCTCACCTCCTCTAAGGGGCCGTGACTTCGGGGGAGGCTGGGTCCGTCTCCTGCACCCAGGCAGTCCACCGTGCCAGGCAGTCACTGTCCGGTAGAGTAGCCACCGGCCACAGGAAGCTGTTGCTCACTTGAAATGTGGCTAATTCAAACTGAGATGTGCTGTGAGTGTAAAACAAACACCAGATTTTGAAGTGGGGGGAGGAAGAGAACATAAATATAACATGAATAATGTGTTATTTAGTTATATGCTGATATAATGTTTGGATATGTTAGGGTCAACAAAATGCCTTATTAGAACTAATATTACCTGTTTCTTCTTTTTTTTTTTTTTTAAAAAAAAATCTTTGCTGGAAAATTTTAAATTATATATCTGGCTCACATTATATTTCTACTAGACAGCACCGGTCTAAGCCAATCACGGTGGTCCCATTCCTTTACCAAGTAAAGGATTTAGGTATTGTGTTTTCCCAAAAATGAAACAGGGTCTTATATTTATTTTTCCCCAGAAGACACCCTAGGGCTTATTTTCAGGGGATGTGTTATTTTCCCCTCAAAGCTTCAGCTTGCAGCACACACAGGATGGCTGGGACCTGACAGGGAGAGCCGACTTTGCTGGTGGGGCTGCCCGCACCTTTCCGGTCACCTCTGGGATAGTAGCTGTCACACTGGGGCAGATGAGAAGAGCTGCTGTCTTCTTCACCACTCAGAGACGAAATGCATGGGTTGTGCAGACACAATGCGTAGCCACGCCCATCACTAGGTCTTATTTTCGGGGTAGGGCTTCTATTGCGCAAATGATTAGAAATCCTGCTAGGGCTTATTTTATGGGGAGGTCTTACTTTCGGGGAAACACGGTAGGTATGTGCACATGATGACGTTCTGACCAATGAAAATCAGAGGTTGGTAACAAGGTTTCTTGGGAGGGTTTTCCTTTCTCTTAAAACAGAATATGAGACAGGGAGGGAGTTTCCTTATTCTGCCATGGATGTTATTATGCCAGTGTGCTGCCTGGAGCAATGGCAGCTACTTTGGGACTTTGAGGATACCTGGCTTAAGAAAATAGACCAGAATAGAAAGATGGAGAAAAACTGTGTTTTTGATGACAAAATTATAATCCATGGGTTTTTCATGTTAAAATTATGTTTTTGTGTTAAATGTATAAATAGATTGTTAAAGACAAATTTAATTGGAGTTCTTATTACTTGCAGACAAAAGCATTGTAACTGGTCCTTCAAGAGAAAACAGTGTCAGAAGGCTATTATCAGTGTGTGTGTGTGTGTGTGTGTGTGTTATCCCTCTACTTCATTGATAATTCAAGTTTTCCTCTGAAAAATAAGGGGGAAATTATAGAAATATTCGGACAATTCTTTTGTGATCTATTCTGAAATGCTACCATCTTTTGTACCT